CGGGGGCGCGGTCGCGGGGGCGCGGGTCGCGGGGGCGCGGGGGCGCGGGGGAGCGGGGGAGCGGGCGCGGAGGCGCGGGGGCGCGGGGGCGCGGGCGCGCGGGGGCGCAGGGGCGTGGGGTCGCCGGCGTGCGGAGGCGCGGGGGCGCGGGGTGCGGGCCCAGGCGACGAGGTCGAGCAGGCGGGTTGCTGAAGCGTGGGTCCTGCATGAATTGCGAGGAAGTCTCGAGCGATAGCTCGATTCCTAAGTAAATCGTGAGAAAAGCCAGCGTGGGCCACGAACGGCATAAAATCCGAGGCCATAGAGGGCAGCGACGGGGCCGCTGAGGGCAGCACCGGGGTCACGAAGGGCAGCGAGGGGGCCACAAAGGGCGACAGCGGAGCCAAGAAGGACATGCATATGGGGCCGCGACGGACGCGAGCGAGCGGGGGCCACGAAGGGCATTCGTATACGGGGCCACAAGAGGCGACAACAGGGCCACTGAGGGCAGCAAAGGGGCCACGACAGACGCGTGCGAGCGGGGGCCACGAGGGCATAGAATGTGGGGCCACAAAGGGCAGCGACGGAGCCACTGAGGGCAGCAACGGGGCCACGAAGGGCAGCGAGCGAAGGCGACCGCGGAACCAGCACGGGCAGCGAGGGGCATCGAAGGCGGGCGAAGGGCAGCGAGCGGCGACTGCAGTCATTAACGGGCTGGTCGGGCGGGCAGGCCCCAACGGGCGGGTCGAGCGGGCGGGTCGTTGAAGCGTGAGTCCTGCTTGAACCGCCAGGCAATATGTAGCGGGAGCGCGATTCCTGAGTGTCGAGGACCGGCATCTGATTAAATTGTGCGGAACTATGAAGCGAAGCGGTTCGGTGGTAAGTTGCGAGGAAATCCCAAGCGAGAACGCGATTCTGCAATCAATTGTAAAGAAATATCAAACGGGAGCCGCGATTCGGTGGTAAATTGCCAGGAAGTCCCAAGCGAGAGCGCGATTCTTCAATAGATTGTGAGGAAGTATCAGGCGAGAGCCGTTAATGTTGTAAACCGGGGGCCAATGACACAGTTTGAGCTTCAAGACTTTCCTTGATTAAAAAACAGGGTGCGAGCCCCGGAAAGGGCACTTGAATCGAAAAAAACATGTGCACTGGGCGAGGGGGATCAACAATAATTATTCCTCAGAAATGAGAGTTCAACAACAACAACAACAACAACAACAACAACAACAACAACAACAACAACAACAACAACAACAACAACACAACAACAACAACAACAACAACAACCACAACAACAACAACAACAACAACAACAACGCAACAATCAGAATTCTCACCACGAACTCCTTATTCAGCCACGCACCCAGGGACAATGAATGACCGTTCGGCCCCTTCACTCTGATGTGCCGAGTGTGGTCGGCAAGCCAGCCACAATTGCGACGCCCTTCGCCGCGTTGAGCGGGAGGGAAGCGCTACAGCGCGAAAAGGATCGAATGATGGAGCGAACGCACAAGCGTCTGCAGCAACAGTTGCATGGGGCCCATTCGGCAGCTCGGGAGCAAAGAGCCGCCGAAGCGGAGGCTCGGGACGGCGAAGCCGACGCCGAGGTGGCCGAAAAACGGCATGTTGTTCAGGCCGCAGCTGACCAGATCAATGCTCTGAGGCCCAGTGCTGAACAGCAGCACGGTGTCCTGCGGGCTCGTGCCCTGGAGGCCGAGATGGCCGCGCCGCGGCAGGTCGTCCAGGCTGCGGGTGATCAGGCCAACGCTCTGAGGCTCAGCGTCGAGCAGGAGCACATTGCCCTGCGGGCGCGGGCCCAGGAGGCCGAGAAGGCTTCCCCCTCGTGGTTGAGGAGCGCCGCGCTAAGGCTCAGGCCCTGGCTCTGGCCGAGGTCCGCGAGAGAGCAGAAGCGCAGGCAGCTGCTGAGCGTGACATCAGGAAAGTGAGCAGGACATGATGGCTCAACAAATCGATTTGCACAGCCGGGCCAAGACCGAGCATTGCCTGTTGAAGGCCCTAAGGTCCCGGCTGGCCTTGAGGGAGCATGACGCGGCAGCCCCTCAGGCCATCACGCGCAAGGGCACCGCCACCGCCACCTGGGGCGGCGGGGCGGCTGCCTGTGTCAGCGGGGGTGAACCGATCCATTGCTTCTCCTGCATGAGGCCCATGTATGCTGACTACATCGAAAGCCATCGTCCTTGCTGCACTCATCACATCGATGGTCGCCTAGGGAGGTGCTACCTTTGCCAACGTAAGCAGGCACAGGCTGCTGACGCGGCAGCAAAAGAGACCACAGAGGAAGAGCTCCAGAGGAGGCGGAAGCCGCGCGAGGAAGAAAAGCAAAGCGTGCCTGAGCCGAGGCGAGGGACACAGAGCAACGGGAGGAAAGGTTCGATATGTTGTGCTCAGCCGTCCCTGAGCTTCGGGCAAGGAACGAAGAGCGGACTCGATTCATCATGAATGCAGAAGCGAAAGTGCAGGAAAGATAGGCGCAGCGAGCGGAAGAAAGGGCCAAGGAGGCTGAGAAACAGAAGGCCGTCGAAAGCCCGAATGAGGCTCTCCGAGCAGGAACAGCCATACCTCGCTGAGATAATGTTCATGGAGGACGAGGCCGAACGGCTCGCAATATCCACGAAGGCCACGGCAGCAGAGGAAGCGGCCGCAGCGATGCCGATCGATATGATCGAGCATGATGCCAAGAAGGGTTCCAGGTCGCTTCGGGGCCGTGGTCTCTTCGGCGATTCGCCGCCACGGGAGCCTCAGCTTCACTCAGATCCCAGGGGTGACAAGCAGGACAAGCCTGACCGTCGGGGGTCGGGGCCCGGCTCAGGCCCCAACAATGGCGACGACCCTCGACCCTGATCGTGGTACTTGGAAACCGTTGCTTGGCTGCGCTCCAAGGGGCGAGGGTGACGATCACAATCGCAGCCGGCGGGGGCCAGGGCAAGGCCTGGCCCCAGTGGCGGCGTGCTTCACCCAGGAGAGTCCAGACTTCACGCCGTTATTGCTGCACGAGGCCATTGCCACTTCGTTTGGCTCAGGGGCGCGTCCGTGAGAGCCCAGCCCCGGCGCACTCCCTAGGGTCCTCCCCGCACATCCTCTCCGCTGCTAATTACCGATCACTGATGTCCCCCTCCCCATCCACGCAGTCCCACCCCTCCATTCCTCCGCCATCCCCCCTCAACCCCTCTTCTCCTCCCCTAACCCCTCTGCTGTCCCTTCCTCTCCTTCCCTCCACTCCCCTTCCCACCCGCCCACTATCTTTTGTCCTTTCTCTACCCCCCAATGTGTCCCACTCTTCTCGGCCGCTCCCATCCCTTCCCCCCCCCCGTCCTCTCCACCCCGCCCCTCCGTCACACCCGCCCCCCCCCCACAGTCGGGGGGCGTCAGCTATACACCCACATCAGCCCTGGTCAGGCCGATCCTGGGCACAGGTTTGGACCTGGCCAAGACCGCTGTAGGTGTCTTCGCGGCGCCCTCCCAGCTATACCTTTCCCCCCCCTCCCTTCACATCCCTTCCCGTCACGGCGTGCACCCCCAGAGGTCTCAACCCCTTCCCTTGCGTGGTTTCTGTTGATGGTCCCGGGGCCCCAGATGCCAAAAACGGCGAGGAACCACCCGTTGTGATGTTTCTTTGGCGCGAATCTAGGCCGCCCAGATGGGATCCGAGTAGACTGGGTCGGAGGATCACGCCGCATCGCCGATGCATCGGCGATGCGGAACCCGATTTCCACCACGCCGTCGTCGCCGATGCATCGGCGATGTATCGGCGATGCGGCGCGATCACCCCTCGACCCCATTTGAGAGGCCTCTATGGAAAGGATTTGGATTCCCCTCCAGACCCTCCCCGACCGACCCGCAGTAGCTGTTTGGACGGCCCCAGGACCCAGCAAGGGCCCCAGGAGCCGAAAACGGCAAGAAATTTTCCAGAGTGTGGCTATATCACGCAGCGCGAACAGAGCTCCAGGCTCCCGTGAGTTCTTCCAGTGAGCATCACGAGAGTAATTGAATCTCATGCGAGTATCATTCGAAGATCGTTCTAGACTCGGTTTCTGACAAGTCAGAAAGACGACCATCGGGTTGGGAGGATGGGGCTGGGTGAAATGATCATCTCATCCGTATGATCGCGCATGTTGAAGGTGCTTGTTACCCAGTCGTGCCGTGTATCTTCCCAACCCCCTCCTTCCAATACCTCAATTGTCTTTCTCGGATAGTTGCATACACAGTGTAGCGCAGGCGGAATGAGCGGGATTGCAGCAGCGCTCCGCCATCTCCGCAGCCACCTGCCCCTCAGAGGCCCCACAGAGGGCCGTGCTAGCAGCACACTGAGAGCTGTACACCAGCGTTGAGTCTAGCAAAAAGGTCACCGTGTACCTCCCCAGACCCCCGACGTCACCATGTTGTCATAACGTCGACCCCCGAACGCCTCACGTCTCGACCCCTTCCCTGGGAACGGTTTCTCATTTGAGCCGTTCTGGTCTGGGTCCCCCCCCCATCCCTGCCTCGGCGGCGCGCCCAGGGGGGAAAATGAGATGGAGTACACCTTAGGCGATGCTTAAGAAAACTTAAGTTTTTGGCCAGAGTCTCGATTATTCTTAACGTTTCAATGTAAATCTTAAGCTTTTAATGGAAACGTTGGGTTTTTATTCAAGTTCTGAGACTATGAATTTCTTAACCCATGATTTCTTAAGCATTTCGCAGGGTGTAGGCCTTCTCAGAAGAAGGCGGGGCTTCTCAGAAGCCCTCTGGCCTTCTGAGAAGCTGCCTGCGTCTTCGGGGAAGGCTAAAAAAAACTTGCCGGAAGGCCCGAGGCCTCCTGAGCCTTTTGGGAAGGCCCGCCCCTCCTCACTTCCCCCTTGCGTGTGGAAGTCGTCGTCGTCGCCGTCGCCGTCGCCTTCGCCGTCGTCGTCGCCGTCGCCGTCGCCGTCGCCGTCGTCGTCGTCGTCGTCGTCGTCGTCGCCCGATGGGGGTCTGGGTCCCCCCCGCCCCTGCCGGCAGCGGCGTGACCGGGCGACGCGCCCATGCTGCGGCTGCTGGCGCTCGGCGTCGCTGCACTGCTGCTGCTGCTGCTGCTGCTGCTGGCGCTGCGACCGCGCGGCGTGCCCGCGGGGCCCCCGGAGCTCTCGGGCGACGTGGGCGCTCCGCTGGGCGCGGTCGCCGACGACCGCAGCCTCCTGCGGCAAGGCCGGGGGGCCCATACCCCCGCGAGCCATGAAAAAGTCATGACGCGGGTTTTTTTTGTTTTCGACCTCTGGGGGCCCTTGCCGGGCCTCAAGGTCTTCAAAAAACGCCTCAGGATGAAAAACCAATCCCAAGGAATAGGTCGAGACCTCTGGGGGTCGACATTGCGAAAAAAACATGACGTCGGGGGCCTGGGGTGGAGGTGGCGATCGGTTTCCTCTCGGACTCGGGATGGTGTCGAAGAACACTGCACGGCATGAGCATACACCTTCGGAGCTCCGCGAGGATTTCTTGGATCGGCGCTGGACCCCCTCTGGCGGCGCTTCCGGCGCCGCCCCTGGCGCGTGGAACGCGCCAGGGAGTGGGCCCAGCGCGGATCCAAGAAATCCGCGCGGAGCTCCAAAAGTTTATGCTCATGCCGTTGTTTTCTTTCTGTGGTGGCAGAGTCGGGGTGGCCCTCGATGCCGTCGAATCCTCCACCCGCAGTCAACGCTGGCTGCCCGTGAGAGTGGCCCTTCACCAGTCGCTCCTGAGTGTGGCCGCCCCTCCTCCGCAGGGCTCGGCTGGTGGCCGAGTCGGGGTGGTCCTCGATGCCGTCGGCCCGCAGCCGAAGCCGAAGGTAGAGGCAGAAGTTGGAGCCGGCTGGGGGTCTGGGGTGGCCCAGCACTGTTTCCGGTCAGCAGGAGGCGGGGAAGAAGTTTTTTGCCTTCTTCGGCTTCCTGGGTGCGATGCTGGGCCCCGGGACCGCCAAACAAAACCCGGGATGAAAAACTACACCAGATGGACCCCAAGAGAAGTCCGGGAACAGATTTTCAGTGGATTTGGCCTCATCCCCTTCTCCTGCCCGCTCTTCTTGGGCACCAACGGGGCCCAAGAAGAACGGGACCGCCCGGGCGGTCCCACTGGGGCCTTGGGTGGAGCCCCCTATGGGGCCACGAAACGCTGTACTGGGTGGTGGGTGACGCATACCGGCGGTCCCACTGAAGCCTTAGGTGGAGCTCCCTATGGGGACACGAATCGCTGTACTGGGTGGTGGATGACGCATGCGGGCAGTCCCATTGGGGCCTTCGGTGGAGCCCCCGATGGGGCCACGAAACGCTGTACTGGGTGGTGGATGGCGCATGCGGGCGGTCCCACTGGGACCTTCGGTGGAGCCCTCTATGGGGCCACGAAACGTTGTACTGAGTGGTGGATGACACATGCGGGCAGTCCCACTGGAGCCTCAGGTGGAGCTCCTTATGGGGCCACGAAAGGCTGCACACTAGGTGGTGGATGACGCATGCGGGCGGTCCCACTGGGGCCGTCGGTGGAGCTCCTTATGGGGCTACGAAACGCTGTACTGGGTGGTGGATGACGCATGCAGGTGGTCCCACTGGGGCCGTCGGTGGATCGCTTTATGGGGCCACGAAGCGCTGTACTGGGTGGTGGATGACGCATGAGGGCGGTCCCACTGGAGCCTCAGGTGGAGCTCCCTATGGGGACACGACATGCTGTGCTGGGTGGTGGATGACGCATGCGGGCGGTCCCACTTGGGCCTTCGGTGGAGCTCCCTATGGGGCCACGAAGCGCTGTGCTGGGTGGTGGATGACGGATGCTTCCGGTCCCACTGGGGCCTTCGGTGGAGCTCCTTTTATGGGGCCACGAAATGCTGTGATGCATGGTGGATGACGCATGCGGGCGGTCCCACTGGAGCCTTCGGTGGAGCTCCCGATGGGGTCACGAAATGAGGGAGGAGCGGGAGGAGCAGGAGGAGGGAGGAGGAGGAGGAGGAAGGAAGGAAGGAAGGGAGGAGAACGCGGGGACCGTCTCTTCAAAACGAGGACCCAGCACCATAGGATGGCTGGGAAAAATCGTGTCGGGACATAAGAAGGTGTTTGAAGGATTTCGGCATGCGCGCATAACGACGCGCGCGTGCTCACTTCGTCCCATATGTCGCAAAAGGTGTTCTAAAACTGATGAGCTTTGATAAACAATTGCGCGCGCATATTTCTTTTTCTGCAAAGGCTGAGGGGGGGTGATACCAGCTTGCCTGGGATGTCACGAAGTCACTCTTAGGATGGACGATGGGGTAGAACCATATGTAAATTGCAGTTCGCGACGCGGGGTGGGTCGTTAAGTCCGAGGGGGGGGAGATCCCAATATTCCTGTTGAAAGGAAAACCTACGTTGTGCTAAATATGGTGTGCAATCGATGTGATTGTGCAATATATGTTGTGCAAGATTTGCGTGCGCCCTATATGGTGCAAAATATGAGGTTATGCGATAGATCTTGTGCAATATGCGGCAATCTATGTTGTGCGCTATATGTGGCGCAGTTTATGTTGCGTGCGAGCAAAAAGCGCGCCGCCGGCTCGAAATTCTATCGTGCAATCGACGCGGTCCAATCGAACGGCGGCGACGAAGCGACGGGCGGCGACGGGGCGGCGACGGCGGGAATACAGCCGCCAGACCGCCCTCTCGGCCCAGACAACGGGCGGCGACGGGGTGGCGACGTCGGGAACATAGCTGCCAGACCGCCCACACGGCCCAGACGACGGGCGGCGACGAGGCGGCAACGGGGCGGTGACGGCCAGAACATAGCCGCCAAACCGCCCACACGGCCCAGTTCCTGGGAGGAGAAGCAAGAACCGCTGCGTGCAAGCATTGCTTGGGGAGTATAATATGATATTATATATGCGTATGTATATATATATATATATATATATATGTATGAGTATGCACGTGCATCCACACATACATGTGTGTAAGGATTAAGGATTACCCTTGCGGTTGGAACATCAATCGGCGCCAGAGGCGGGCTTTCGGTTCACCATTGATTGCCAGATTGAAGTTGCAAAAATCGGCGCCTGCGGCGGACTTGTGATTGAGATGTCAAACGGGTACCAAACAATCGGCACCCAGCGAGGCTTCTCAAACCTTCCTTGAAGGCGTAAGTTGATACAGTCGTGGGCCCCTCACTCCTATCCCCGCATGCGGGGCTATGGAGTTACATGAGAGAAAAGCACTGCGCAGCGTTCCAGAACATTGGATAACATATCCTATGGCAGTGCAGCGTGGCATAGTAACGCACGGCGTGGCGCGGCGCATCTTGGTATGGCATAGCGTGGCGCCTTGTCACCTTGAGCGACACCGGGGGGCCAGACGACATCACACTCGCTTCTCGAAAGATGGGGCGACCCCGAGGACCTCGAGGCAAGCCAAACCATGGTGCCAGACCCTCTGCATGTAAAGAGCACTCCTCAGGCGATGCCTGCTTGAGGACTAGAGGCCAGCCCGAGTTGCGGGGTTCAGGAGGAGGCGAGATCGGACGGGGTTAGGACGAGGATAACTCCGTTCCAGGGCGTTCCGAAACGCTCTCAGACGGCCGCGGCGCCTCAGACATCCTCCAGAGTCGCCAGATCTCCGAGATTATGGATGCATCCTCGTCCGAAGGCACATCCCAAGAGAGCGGCGCCGCGCCCCCTGCGTGCCACGAGGCGCCGCCGCCTTCCGCCGGGGCGACGACGCGACGGCCGTGCGGTGCCTGCACGCGTGCCTGAGCGACACCAGCGCACCGCTGGACACCCGTGCAGCCTGCAAGACGGTGCTGGGCGAGATGCACCTGGTGGCCCGCCGGCCGAAAGTGTCGGGGGTCGAGGCGGGGGGCAGCAGGATGCCTGCGGAGCGGACCAATGGTCGGAGGCTGCAAGAAGGCTTCGTCGGAGAAAGCTGGCTTCGCCTGACCCGAGGCCCCCCCAGCCAGACCTGCGGCGCCCAATCGGCCGTCGAGATCACCCTGGTTGAACCAGACCCTCTCGCCGTTCCCGAATCGAGTAGGAGATCGACGGCATAATAGATTGACCAAAGATTCTCAACCCTCTTGTGCGTTGGGTCTTCGTTTTGAAGTCACAGCTTCGCGCGTCTCCTTCCTCTCTTCTCCTCTCCTCTCCTCGTCTTTCCTCTCTCCTCTCCTCTCTTCCCGTCTCCTCTCCTCTCCTCTCCCCTCCTCTTCCTCATTCGAACGGTGGCATTGTGACAGGTAGCAGCGTGTGTAGCGTGGCAGATATGCGGGTCGAGGGTGCCATCCATAGGCGTTTGGCGCAAGGAAGCCCACCCAAAGCATCCAGGGAGATCAACTTTCACCCTGCCGCCCGGCAGCGCAGCCATCCTCAGGGAGGCCCTGGGCCACGAGTCCTTCGACGAGCGGGCCGAGCGCCTGCGCTGCATCAAGCCGCGCACGGGCTGCAGGGATGCACCCAGAGTTTTCTTCACGAAACTCGTCTGGGTCACGCGCTCGGAGGAGCGCAACGCTAAGCCGACGCGGTGGGACCCGGAGTTCGAGGTAAAGCACGAGGCGCCCGGCACTTGTGGTGCCAGCGACCCAGAGTTGGTGGTCATGTTGTCCGAGCACATTGACGACCTCAAGATAGCACGACGCAAGGAGCAGGTCGACCGTCTCGTCGGCTTCATCGTGAGCGTGTTCGGCAAAATGACGGGGGTCTACGACGGTTTCACCATCTGCGGCGTCCACCAACACCGCAGTGCCGACGGTGGCGCGACGCTCGACCAGGACGAGTACATCGATGCGCCGATCCCCAACAGGCACGTCGACCTGGCCAAATCGAAGACCGACGAGCCTGCCGAGGGTCCACTCCCGGACATGTTTGTCCCCCTCTTCGGAGCAACTGCCTACGCGCTGCCCACAACGCCGCGTTGCCGTCTACATCGTCGCGTTGCAGAGGGCCAAGAACAAACTGCTCATCAGGCACAACATGCAGCTCAACGCCGTTGTTCTGGCCACGCAGAAGATCAAGACGCGCATCGTCTACAGGGCGATTGATTGCGCCAGCAAGATCTTATGCGCACAGCGACGGCTCCTTCAAGCGCGAGGGGGATACAGGATACCGCGTGAGAGGCTCCGTCTTCATGCGTCTTGGCAAGTGTCGCAGCACTGGTAAACAGATCTGCCACTTGCTCGACGCTGTGAGCCGATTACACAAACTCGCGCGTCGATCGTCATTCGGCTCCGAGCTGCTCGCAGCATTTGGAGCAGCAGACGGGCTACAGGCGCACCTCCTCGCGTTCCACGTGACGGCGCGAGGACCCGCCTCAGCAGACGAGATCCGGAGACGGGGGGGGGGGGAGGTTACGCCGTGCCGGCCGAGCTGATCGCAGGCGACACCCGCGACATGCTGGCGACCTTAAGATCAAGGGAACGCATCGGCTGAGAGCTCATCCTCGACGTCATGAAGGGCAACTTCGCCTACGCCCATCCCACGGTGAGGCAGAGTGTGGAGCGAGATGAGAAGGCAGCACCCAGCTCCCACTACAGCGACCTCACCAAGGACAAGCACGACGGGTGACCAGATTGCAGACTCAGGCGAACTATGTTCGCGAAGCGAAGTATTGAGCCACTCCGCATAAGGCGCATTGCGTTCGCAAAATGCGACATCGCGAGCCAGACTGAGGAGAAGTTGTTTCTTTAAATGCGTTCGAGAAACAGTCGGAGATTGAGAGACCGCGTGCTCTGTGAACCGTCTGCTGCTATTGTTGGAGGGGGTGCGTGGTTTGCTTTGGTCCATGATCAATGACGGGAGCAACTCCACCCCTGCAATGGGCGCCGTAAAAAGGTTTTTGCGGCTGGCGCCGCGGGGGTCAAAGCACCCTGGGGCGGAACGAAGTCCATCAACTACGGGACCCGGGACCTACCGAACCCGGTTCGTCGACCCCTGCCTTTGCAGCTTTTGTTATGAAGAATTTCGTTTGTGAAGTTTCTCTCGCTCTGTAACCACACAGTTAGTTGGGGTGTCTCGTTAGCGGTTTCGCCAACGAGGCACAACGGACTCGTTCGAGCACTTGTCTCGAACGGTAGCATTATAATAGGTTGCAGCATGTGTAGCATGGCAGACAGGCGGGCAGAGGCTGCTATCCATTAGCGTTTGGCTCAAGGGTGGCCACCTTCGGCACCCGCTACACAGTCTTCCCAGACGCCGACTTGCAACGCTCCATGGAAGGTATATGTTTTTTCAACACCGCTTTACATTCTACTTCCTCTCCACCCTCTTCCCTATTCCATTTTGGCGCACCCATCACACGTTTCGTGGCCACGTAGGAAGCCCCACCGAAGGCTCCAGTGGCTGCGTCCGCATGGTGACCCGCTTCGTGGCCGCACACGGAGCTCCACCGAAGGCCCCGGCGGCTGGGTCCGCATTGCACACCCATCACACGCTTCGTGGTCGCATTGGGAATTCCACCGAAGGCCCCAGCGGCTGCGTCCGCATTGTTATTCGGGTCCGTTCTGGCACACTCTCACACGCTTCGTGGTCCAGGTCGGGGCTCCACCGAAAGCCCCTGTGGCTGCGTCTGCATGGTTATTCGGGCCCATGTTAGCACACCTTTCACACGCTTATTGGCCTTATATAGAGAACGGTTCTTCGCCAGGGTAATCGTTTTTGCGCCGAGTCTGAAAACGGAGAGTACGTAGGATGTCCAGGCCTACGAAGATTGACGAAAAAATAGTCCTGGGGTAGATCAACTCGGTAGCCGAACCCCTTACTCGAAAGGCCCTGCGTGCGCCGACGCCGCGTGTGCGCTCCAGGCGGCCCGAGCACCCAGGGGCGGCAGGCGCAGAGATCGATGGCCCCGGCGGCGCCGACGTGGCCCCCCACCGGCCGCATCGGCCTTCGGGCGCAGGCCGCCCGCGAAGGACCCAGAAGGAGGTTTCTCATAGGCCTCGGCCTCTCCAAGGCTCTTGCCGAGCCTCGGGACCGCAAAAAGAGAGCTCTGGAGGAGAAGCCGGTCCCGAGAAAGTGGTCGAGAGGTCGGGGGGCCGCGCCTCGAAAAAATGATGAGGCGCCGGATGTTTGGGGGTGGGACGTTTGGAGCTCTCGAGGCTCCAGGTTTTCGGGCGCGCTCGTCGGCGGGCGGCGGCCAGCCTGGTGGTGCCTTCCAGCAGTTGCGCCTCGCCGAGAGCGCCCTGGGGGTTCCCCGATCGCCCCGAGCGGCGGCCCGAAAACAGCCGGGCGACGAGGATCCTTGTGGCGCCTGCGCGCCTGCATGAGCCGCTTGCGCCGGCTCGGCGGGCACGCGCGCGTACGGGCCCCGGCCCCATCCTCTTCGCCGCTCTCGGGTCGGAGGTTGCTACATGTGTCGGGTCGGGCGAAAGGGGGGGATTGGGAAAGGGGGGGTTACGAAATCTGCTGCATGCAGCTGGTTTCGGCCTCACCGAAGGGCCCGTTCCTCGATACATAGCCGCCTCCGGCGCCGGGAGGCGCCGGGAAATGATTCTCAAACCCCCCCTTTGCTATCCCCCCCTTTCGCCCGACCCGAATGTGTCCCTGGCCCAAGGTGCTCCCAGCTTTCCGCTTCGCTCAGTTTGGGAGCCCCTGGGGCTCGTTCTGGGCCTCGTGGGGGGCGCTCTGGAGGCCGCCGGGGCCTCCTTGGAAGTCCGAGGGGCACCGTGGACCAGGGGCACTTCTACCCACCCACACCCGATCTGGGCCGATCTGCACGAACGAAATGGGCACAGAAAGAATGGGTACGATGCCCAACCGCAGTTTGTGTTCATGCTGAGCAGAACTCGCTGTCCTCGCCGCCACGGACTTTGTCTTTTTGAAAAAGGAGGCCGCCTGCCCAACTGGGGCCGCTTCTGGCTTTGGACAACATGTGCTGTCGGGTATCGTACCCAGTTCCGTATTCATTTCGGACGTCCAAAGCCGACGGGCCTCTCCAGCACACCCTGGCGGCGCGCAGAGAGGCCCTCTGATATCCGCTTTCACAGTTTATCCCAACCCTCCTTGGTTGGGCATTCGTTCTGAATAGAGCACTGTGGTCGCGTCTTCTCCTCCTCCCGCCTCCCGCCTCCCGCCTCCCCTTGACTTGTGCGTACCTCTTGTGTGTGCATCTTGCTTGCGGTACCTATTGTGTGTGCCTGAGGGGTTGCGATTGGCGAAAGTGTCGCCACTTTCGAGGGCTGCTGGGGGGCGCCAGCATAGTGGGTAGCCGCCACGGGTCCAAATTTGGCTTCGCCATCCCTGAGGGGCTGCGAGTTGCGAGACCGTCGCCACTTTCGAGGGCTGCTGGGAGGGCCAGCATAGTGGGTACCCGCCGCAGATCCAAATTTAACCTCGCCATCCCTGGGGGGCTGCGATTACCGAAACTGTTGCCACGTTCAAGGGCTGCTGGGGGGCGCCAGCATAGTGGGTAGCCGCCACGGATCCAAATTACACCTCGCCATCCCTGGGGGGCTGCGATTTGCGGAACTGTCGCCACTCTCGATGGCTGCTGGGGGGGCCAGCATAGTGGGTGGTAGCCGCCGCAGACCCGAATTAGACCTCGCCATCCCTGGGGGGCTGCGAGTTGCGAAGCCGTCGCCATTTTCGAGGGCTGCTGGGGGGCGCCAGCATAGTGGGTGCCCGCCGCGGATCCAATTTTGACCTCGCCATCCCTGGGGGGCTGCGATTTGCGAAACTGTCGCCACGTTCGAGGGCTGCTGGGGGGGGCCAGCATAACTAGTGGGTACCCGCCGCGGATCCTAATTAGACCTCGGCTGCGATTTGCGGAATTGTCGCCAGTTTCGAGTGCTGCTGGGGGACGCCAGCATAGTGGGTGCCCGCCGCGGATCCAACTTTGACCTCGCCTTCCCTGGGGGGCTGCGAGTTGCGAGGTTGTCGCCACGTTCGAGGGCTGCTGGGAGGGGGGCAGCATAGTGGGTAGCCGCCGCAGATCCAAATTTGACCTTGCCATCCCCGGGGGGCTGCGATTTGCGAAACCGTTGCCACGTTCGATGGCTGCTGGGGGGGCCAGCATGGTGGGTGGTAGCCGCCGCGGATCCAAATTAGACCTTGCCATCCTTGGGGGGCTGCGATTAGCGAAATTGTCGCCGATTTCGATGGTTGCTGGGGGGGGCAGCATAGTGTGTACCCGCCGCGGATCCAAAGTAGACTTCGCCATCCCCTGGGGGGGGTCTGCGAGTTGCGAGACTGTCGCCACTTTCGAGGGCTGCTTGGGGGGGGCAGCTATAGTGGGCACCCGCCGCGGATCCAAATTAGATATCGCCATCCCTGGGGAGCTGCGATTTGCGAAACCGTAGCCACTTTCGATGGCTGCTTGGGGGGCCAGCATAGCGACCTGCGAAACTGTCACCACGTTCGAGGGCTACTGGTGGGCCCAGCGGAGTGAGGCACCGCGCGGATCTGAGCGAGACCTCGCCTTCCTTGGGGGGCTGCGATCTGCGAAGCCGGCGCCACTTTCAAGGGCTCATGACGTGTCCAGCGGAATGAGGCACCGCGCAGATCTGAGCGGGACCTCGCCGTATTTGGGGAGTTGCGATCTGCGAAACCGTCGCTACGTTCGTAGGCCGGTGGCGGGTCCAGCGGAGTGAGGCACCACGCAGATCTGAGCGGGACCTCGCAATCCTTGGGGGGCTGCGAGCCTCACGAATGCCGCTCGCAGAAGTATGTGCGCCCATGTCACGCCATCACCTCCGTATAACGTCTCCCAAGGTACTCATGCCCCGCATTGCGCATGTGTTGGGTACGTCGCCTGGGTAATTTTCACCACGGGCGAGGATGTTTGGTTCCGTGCTCGGGGACCGCCGCTGATCGATCCAATTCGAGTTTGATCGGGCGGTCTTGTCGTGATTGTGAAGGTTACGGCTGATGTCGCCGACCTTGTATATTATGACGAGATGAATGGGGATGGGTTGGAGGAGGAGGAGGAGGAGAAGGAGGAGGAGGAGGAGGAGGCGGAGAGGAAGTAGAAGAAGAAGCAGGAGCAGGAGGGCATGCGGGGCATGGGGGTGGGGAGATGGGGAATCGGGGGAAGGGCGATAGAGGAAAATGGCAAGGAGGAGGTAAGTCGATTAGGTCTAGGAGTCCAGCCGTGATGTTTTACGATGCTGCAATGTTGTTTGCAGTGTCCGATCTCAAATGGAGGGGGGGGTAGGGGGGGAGGGGTTCTGAGAAGGCGGCGGGGCGTGTCGGGCCGCCTGGCCACCTCCCCACGAAGCGCGACACCGCGGACAAGGTGCAGCGTCGGGAAGCCAAGAGGGTGTGGTGGGGCTTGGGGAGGGGCTCTGAGAAGGCGGGGGGGGCGTCTCGGGCTGCCCAGCCACCTCCCCTCGAAGCTCGACGCCGCGGATAAGGTACGACGTCGTGGAGCCAAGATAGGGAGGGGGCCTTGGTTTGGGGTTCTTTTCATTGGTGAGACGCCTCCGCATCACCCTCGTCTTCCTTCCTTACTTCCTGCCTCATCTTTCTTTCATTCATCATCAGACTCATTCAGACTCATACTGACACTCAGATTCGCCCACGCCCAGACTCACTCGTACTCTGACAACGCACAATCAGATGTATATATATATATATATTCGGCTTAGCTATACCCAGACTCACACGCACAGACCACTCACACTCATATTCATTCACACTGAGACTCACTCACAATCATTGTTACCCAAACTCAGGGTAACTTTCATTCAGACTCAAACTCACTCACACTCAGATTCACTCACACCCACTCGCCCACACTCAGACTCACGCACATTCAGATCCACATCTGATCCTCTGATTCGCCCACCCACAGTCACCGTGATGCAGCTGGCATATCACTAGAGCACCCTAAGGGGGAGTCGCCGAAGGGGTAGAACAATTGCCAGTTCGCGCCCAGGCTGGGTGGACGTCTCGAGCGAAACAGTGGTTTGGGTTTCCCCGACTCCGTTGTTTTGAGCACCATGACCAGCGCGACGCAGCAGGCATAGCATTTGGGCATCTCAAGGGGGAGCCGTCAAGGGATACGGCATTGCTCGGTCGAGCCCAGTTGACGTCCTCAGTGGTCTTGGCTTGCCCGATACAGTTGCTTGGAGAGCCACATGATCACCGCGATATAGGTGTCATGGCATTTGGGCACCCTCAAGAGGGAGCCGCCAAAAGGGCAGGACACGTGCCCGTCCGCGTCCAGATTGCTGGGGCGTCTCAAGCGAAACGCCGGTTGTGGCTTCCCCGACTCCTCTGCTCTGAGAAGCCCACAATGAACGGATGCAGCAGGTATGGCAACTGAGCACAGAGGGTAGGACACTTGAACGTTCGCGCCCAAATTGTTGGGACATCTCAAGCGGAACGCTGGCTTTGCTTTCCCGGCTCGTCTGCTTGAGAACCCCATGATCAACGCCATGTAGAGCACAGCACTGTTGCACCCCAAGGGGGGGCCGCCAGGTGGTATGATGCTTGCCCGGTCGCGCCCAGACCGTGGGGTTGTCTCAAGCGAAACGCAGGATTTGTGTTCGTTGGCCCCTCCTCTCTTGAGAGCCCCATGATCACCGCGATGCGTCGGGCATGGCAACTGGGTGCCCCAAGGGGGAGCCGCCAGGGGGTGGGACACTTGCCCGTCCGCGCCCAGATTGTAGGGAGGTCTCAAGCGAAACGCTGGTCCTGGCTCACCCGACCCTTCTGCTGTGAGAGCCCCCCGATCACCGCCACGCAGCATGGATAGCGCTTGCGCTTCCCAATGGGGAACCGCGAGGGAGCACCAAGCCATGCCCAGACCAATTTACATTCAGACCCGCGTGTACCCAGCCAGCCGTATTCAATACCAGTCGCCCTCAGACCTGCTCGTTTCAGACACTTTTTGGGAGGAAACTTGCCAAAAAAGAGATGCACACATCCTGCTGCGAACCAGGCTGCGCGCCAAAATTCCATGACAACCCATCTTCCGGGATTTGAAACCGCACATTGCGAAGAACCGCCCCTCGCCATTGTTTGGGCGTTGCTTGGTTCTGAGGTTTGTCAGGAGACGGAAAGAAACACAAACACAAGTAAACGTCGATTTCCAAGAAACAATAGGATGGAGAAAACGAACAACAAAAAATACACATTAGAAATAACCTGGCGAAGGACCCAACCATATGCAGTTGTGCGTACCGCAATTGTGAATGTATTGTGCGGTGGCGTCCCTATGGGGCCACGAAGCGTGTGAGGGGTGTGCCGAAATCGGTGCGGGGGACGCATGTGGACGGTGGCATCGGGGCCTTCGGTGGAGCTCCCTATGGGGCCACGACACGTGTGAGGGGGGTGCTGAAATGAGTCCGGGGAACGCATGTGGACGGTGGCACTGGGGCTTTCGGTGGAGCTCCTTGTGGGGTCACGCAACGTGTAGGGGATGTGCCGACATGGGTGTGGGGGACGCATGTAGACGGTGGCATTGGGGCCTGATGTGGAGCTCGTGTGAGGGGTGTGCCGAAACGGGTGTGCGAGACGCATGTGGACGGTGGCCCTGGAGCCTTCGGTGAAGCTCCCTATGGGGGCACTAAACGTGTGAGGGATGTGCCGAAATTGGTGTGGGGCACGCATGTGGACGGTGGCACTGGGGCCTTCGGTGGAGCTCCCTATGGGGCCACGAAGCGTGTGAGGGGTGCGCCGACATGGGTGCGGGGAACGCATGTGGACGGTGGCAGCGGGGCCTTCGGTAGAGCTCTCTATGAGGCCGCGAAACGTGCGAGGGGTGTGCCGAAATGATTGCGGGGGACGCATGTGGACGGTGGTGCTGGGGCCTTCGGTGGAGCTCCCTCTGGGGCCACGAAACGTGTGAGGGGTGTGCCGACATGGGTGCGGGGGACGCATGTGGACGGTGGCACTGGGGCCTTCTGTGTAGCTCCTTGTGGGGCCACGAAACGTGTGAGGAGTGTGCCGAAATCGGTGCGGGGGACGCATGTGGACGGTGGCATCGAGGCTTTCGGTGGAGCTCCCTATGGGGCCACGAAACGTGTGAGGGGGGTGCTGAAATCGCTGTGGCTTTCGGTGGGGCTCCCTATGGGGCCACGAGACGCTGTACTGGGTATGTGAAACGCAGGGAGGAGGGGGAGGAGGGAGGAGGAGGGAGGAGGGGAGGAGGAGGATGAAGGAGGACGCGGGGCGCTGTCTCTTCAAGAGGACCCAACACCACAGGATGGTTGGGAACAAAAGACTTGGATGTGTGTCCACCCACACCGCCCACACGGCCCAAACGACGGGCGGTGACGAGGTGGCTACGGGGCGGCGACGGCGGCTACATAGCCGCCAGACCTCCCACACGGCCCAGTTACCCCTAAGTGCAAGCACTGTTTGGGGAACAGTGGGAATCTTAGGATTTGTGTATCATTTTGCTGTGTGTCCCTGAGCCTCTTCAAAGTACGTCTGGACCCTCGTCCAGTGAAGGTGGGCGCGGGCGTGCCGAAGAACCTCACCGAGGCGTGGGCGCTCTTCCAGGCGGCCGCCGACGCTGGCGACGCTGAGGCCGAGCCTTTACACGGGCCGCCCACATCGGGAGCGTCCAGGGGGGGGGCAAGGACCAGAGGGGGGTCAGAGGAGGAAAATGCATTGATACCGCTACTAAGGCATCGTGTTCGCCCTTTTCGGCCTCGTGGGAGGCCCTCGTCGCCACCGCTTGATTTACCTCGCAATTCTGGTTAGAACGCACCATGGGTGAGGTCTGCGGAGTTGCGGTATCGGTACCTGTTGGTTTCCCCAAATTGGGGGGTATCATCGCTGGGGCAACGAAATCTCCCAGATATCCCGGCCCCATTCTGTCTGTTTTCAACACGCCCCTCGCCCGCGCATGTGCTTCGGCCCCCTCATCTTGGTCCCCCACTTCGACGCACACGGCCACAAGAGGGACCAGGGCAGATTTCACATGTTCCTCGTCATCGGTTTCTGGGAGTTCTGCCTTGCCTCTTTGGAGCTCCAGGTGGGCCTCTCGTCGCCACGAGCGGGTTCCATTCAAATTCTAGTCACAGCGCACCCCTGAAGAGGTCCAGGGTCCAGGGGCCCATTTTGGAAAGTAGCCATGAACAAGAAGTGCTCCTAAGGGAAAGGAGTCTCACTGCGTTTCGCCGTCCCCAGCATGTCTCCATAGCCCTTCTTGGGCCCTGGGGCCGTCAGAGAGCAGCCCAGGATGGAAGGCTGATCCCAGGCCACCCGCTTCCTTCAGGACCCTTCTCTCGCTCATAGCCGAGATCCTGGTGGTCCGTGGAAACACAGGTATTCCATATATTTTTGGGGTTTCTGGAGACGGGCGCCCCTCCTTCTCTTGCTCCCCCTCCTCGCCCACGCCCTCCAGGGACAATGCGCCAGGCAGGAAAACCTATGAAAACACAAATATTCCATATATCTTTGAAAGTGTTGGTAAGGAAACCTTGTGAAAACACAGGTATTCCATATATATATATATATATATATATATGTTGTGGTTGTTTTCCTGGCGACGGGCACCCCTCCTCCTCCTGCTCCCCCAACATCCCCCAACCTCCTTGTAGCGCGTCGGTCTCCAGAAAATTTAGAAATATATGGAATACCTGTGTGTTCACATGGATTCCTTACCAAAACCTTCAAAAACAGCTGGAATACCGATGCTTTCACAATGTGTCCTTACCAAAACCTTCAAAAATATGTCGGATACCTGTGTTTCACAAGGTTGACTTACCAAAACCTTCAAACATATATGGAATATTTGTGTTTTCACCAGGTTTCCTTACCAGAACCTTCAAACATATCTTGAATATCTGTGTTTTCACATGGTCCTCATAAGAAAACATCACCTTTAATGCTTTTAAGCAAGTAATCATGTTGATCCTTTTGTAGAGCCACCACAAAGGGAATCCTTTTGCGCGACCGCCTCAAAAGGAATCTTTTGGCAAGGCCGCCGCAAAGGGAATCTGTTTACAAATCCGCCACGAACGGAGGAGGAGGGATACGATGAGGAATGACAGAAAATGATCATGAAGGGGGAGGAAAACGAGGAAGAGGAGGAGGAGGAGGAGGATGTTGCAGAGGCTCCGGAACTCCCCTCATCAGAAAAAGACTCTCCCGTCATCGTCGTCGTCGTCGTTTGTCTCTCTCTCTCTCTCTCTCACTCCCCTCTCTCCTTTCTCTTTCCAAGTAAAAGAGGAGGAGGAGGAGGAGGAGGAGGAGGAGGAGGAGGTAGAGGAGGAGGAGGAGGAGGGGAAGGAGAGAGAGGAGCTCTCCCCGACTCTCTCTCTCTCTCTCTCTCTGTTTCTTTCCCTCCCAAAAACATGTGTACAAGAAGAGGAAGAGCAGGATTTCAAGTGGAAAGGAGCAGATCCCAGATCAAGAGGATTCCGATTGAATTCGAATAGGATTATCATACGATTCCAATGGAAACGGAGCACATCCCAGATCCAGAGGGTTCTTGTTGAATGTGAATAGAAATCGGATACGATGTCAATGGGAAATGGAAGTGGTCCAAGATCCAGAGGATTCCCATTGAATTTGGATGATTCTAAGTAAATTTCAATAGAAACGGAGCACGTCCCGAATATCAAGGATTCCTATTGACTTTGAATAGGGCCCTGATCGGATGCCAATAGGAGCGGAGCAGATCCCAGATCCAGAGGATTCCTAATGAATTTGAATTGGATTCAAATCGGATTTCAATAGGAACGGAGCAGGTCCCATATCCAAAGAATGCTTATTGAGTTTGGTCAAGTTCGTGATAATATTTCAATAGGAAGAGCAGATCTCAGATCCTCCTCCTCCTCATCATCATCATCATTTTCCTCATGCGAGAAAGAGTACGAGCGGCCGCAGCAGGCGAGGACGACTCCTTTTCTTTATCTCTCTCTCTCTCTCTCTCTCTCTCTCGCTCTCTCTATATTCCCCTTTGTCTTTCACGCAGATGCGGAGAGGAGGAGGAGAGATGAATAGGATGAGAGAGGAACTAACTCTCACCCTCATCTCCATCTCTCTCTCTCTCTCTCTCTCTTTCCCCTTCTGTCCGTCTTTCTGTCCATCTCTCTCTCTCTCTCTTTCTCACTCTCTCTTTCTCTAACTAGAAGTGGAGGAGGAGGAGAAGGAGGAGAAGGAGAGAGAGGACCCCTCCTTGATTCTCTCTCTCCCTCTCTCTCTCTCTCTCTGTGTCCCTCTCCCACTCCAAAACATGTGCACAAGAAGAGGAAGAGAAGGACTTCAAGTGGAATGGGGCATCTCCCATATGAAGAGGATTCCTATGGAATTCGAACAGCATTCTCATATGATTCCAATGGAAATGGAGCATATCCCAGATCCAGAGGATTCCTATGGAATGCGAATAGGAATCGGATACGATTTCAATGCGAAGTTGAAAAAGATCCCAGATCGAGAGGGTTCCTATTGAATGTGGATGGGGCTCTAAGCAAACTTCAATAGAAACGGGGCACGTCTCAAATCCAAAGGAGTCCTATTGAAGTTGAATCGGGCCCTGAAAGGATTTAAATAAGGACGGAGCAGACCGCAGATCCAGAGGATTCCACATTGAATCGGACTCTAATCGGATTTCAATAAGAAGGGAGCAGATCCCAGATCCAGGGGGTTCCAAAGTGAATAGGATTCCAATCGGATTTCAATAGGAACGGAGCAGGTCCCAGATCCAAAGAATTCATGTTGAATTTGATCAAAGTCCTAGTAAGATTGCAGTCGGAAAAGAGCAGATCCCAGATCTTCCTCATCCTCCTCCTCCTCCTCCTCCTCCTCCTCCTCCTCCTCCTCCTCCTCCTCCTCCTCCTCCTCCTCATAGGAAGAGGAGCGACGGAGAGCGGGGAGCAAATGAGGGGAGGACGAGGAGGAGAATGCGGAGGAGAATGAGGAGAATTAAGAGGAGAGGGAGAATGAGGAGGAGAATGAGCAGAATGAGGAGAAAAATTGTGAAGAAGATGAAGAGAATGAGGAGGAGAATGCGGAGAATGAGAATGAGGAGAATGGGGAGAGCGATGAGGAGAATGACGCGGAGGAGAAAGAGGAGGATGAGGATAAGAGAGGAGGAAGAGAAAGATCGTCGTTGGGGGAATTGGGAGGGCGGCATACAAATATGTATATATACACATATATATATACACATACACACACATGTATATACACATATACATGTATATATATATATACATACATACATACATACATACATACATACATACATATATGTGTATATATATATAACACAAAGACGCCCCCCCTCCCCGGGGAGCGTCCCCCACCTCCGTAACTCTGGAGGCAACTCCTGGCACCGCGCCCCCGGACCTCCCAGGGAGGCCCCATAACGCCCCAGGACGGCCCAAGACGCCCCCAAGGAACCCCCAGAACGCGAAAGGACGGCCCAAGACGCTCCCAAGCAGCCCAAGACAGACCTCCGACGGCCCTCCAGGCTCCCAGGAGGCCTCCAAGAGGCGTCAAGAGAGCTCCGAGAGACGTCCCAGGAGCGCCCGAAGATTCCCAAATCGTTGATGTACACACACATATATATATATACATATACATGTACATATACATATACATACATATATATATATATATATACATACATACATATATATATATATATATGTATGCATATACATATGCGCATATATTTGAATTTTCGTTTTATATATATATATATATATATATATATATACATGTGTATATTATATATATATATATGTGTGTATGGATTGTTGTGTTTAGCCCTCTCGCGTTTTCGAGCTTCCAACGCTCCAAGATGGCCAGACCCCCAAGATGGCCCGACAAGCCGCCCAACAGGGGGAACGCAAATCGACAATCCCGATGTTTCGCTCCGAGAGGCCCCCAGGAGGCCCCAAGAGTCCTTCAAAGAGCTTGAAAAGGTCCCCAACTGCCCCGAAGAGGCCCAAAATTGGCCCCAAGAGGCCCCAAAGCAGCCCCCCAGTGGCTTCCAAACTGCCATCCAAGAGTTCCCCGCACGCCTCTTAGCCCCCCCCCGGTTCCTGCGTACTGCATGTTAGGAGAAGCCCCGCTTACAGTACGATTTGCATCTGGTATATAGTTTAATATCATATAACATCATGCAGTAGAATATCATATAATATCAGATAACACCATACAACATAATGTGTGCTGATGTTTTGTAATAAAATGTGATAACGAATGTTAATACTAGTAATACTGATAACAACAATAATGATAATAGTACGAGTACTAATTACAACAATAATAGTACTGTTCAACTTCATCCCGAGCCCCATCAAGAATCCAGGGTAAGAATTCAAATGCTGTTCGCAAGTATTGTTGAACTTTCTGGCCCTGTCTTGGCACTCTCTTGGATCGTCTTCGTGTCCTCATGGCTGCCCCTTGAAATCACAGTAAAAATCGAGCTTCCATGAGTTCACTTGTCCAGCCTAGCTAGGGGACCCCCTAAAGCCTTACGAGCGCGTTGCCCCAAGGTAGCCCCAAGGTTCTCCCAGAGGTTCTCGATGCGCCCCCAGATGTCTGCGGAGACTCCCAGGAGGCTC